TCGTTCAACTCATACTAAACTGCTTTATGTTGTTAAATGCTGCATAATGTGGGTTTTTTCTTTAGAGTGAAAAGGCACTTTAATTATGTCGTATTATGGAAGCATTTCAAACATTCTACTTATAGAAACAAAAGAGAATAGACATAACATCTTGGTTCAAAAAGCAGCTAAAAATTCTGAAGTGGGGTATAAATATTATATGAAAGACATTATTATATTTTAAGGTTTTTGTTTTGGAAACTAATCCTAAAATTTTGTTTTAAAGCACTTTAATCCATTTAAGATTCAGGGGAAAGAAACTAAAAGATGATACATCTTAATAAAAAAACTGTTTCTGATGCTAAGAATGATGTTTCCTTTTTGCCATTAGATAAGCTACCTTTCACTTTTTTGGAATGTTGGTTAAGATAAAATTTTTACTTTTCTTGTATAAGAAAAGCAAGTTCAAAAAAATTTTTAAAGCAAGTTCGAAACACTTATGTTGATACAATATTGTTTTTGCTGTAACAAGGAGTAATATTAAGCAGAATTTTCAGAATTATATGCATTTTTCTCTTTGTTGAAATGATTGTTAGCCCTAAGAGATAATTGAGACATCAACTTGGAAAAATTCAAAAATTAATTAAAATTTTTCTCTAAATGCAGCAGATACAAAGTAGCCTGTATCTGTGTTCTCACATGCGTACTGTAATTGGAAAGATGATGGTTTGCAATTAGTCTCCTAATTTTATGTTCATGCTTTATATGGACCATATAGGGATATTCCTCCTTTTAGGAATTAAGGAAGTAACTGGAAATAAAGAATAAACTTTATACACAAAAATGTCACCATAGCATTAGTTATAGTAGTTGCAAAAACTGGAAACAACCTAAGTGATTAACAGTGGGGGAATGTTTAGTAAACTATGGCATGTCCACCCAACAGAATATTTTATGTAGTCATTGAAACAAAAAGAATATTTATTGTTGTATGTACAGTATCATCAAAGTTTGTAGAGTCAGGGAATCAAAAACTATGCTTAGCCAAGAAACAGAAAATACACCAGTATTTCAAAGATAAAGACATTCTTTGAAAATGTTCAAATGTGAGCGATTGTAACATGAATTCTATTTCAATTCATTTATTACTGTGTTCTTTGTTTTCTGAAAGGATGTAGCTATTCACTCAGTGAGTATTTTGAACTGTTTTTTCTCCCTCCAGAATTCTATGGATTTACATGTTTTCTTTTCCTGCATGAAATTATTTACAAAATGGCCATGGGGTTACTGAAGTTTAGTCATTTTCCTGATAGGATGGAAGCTGTGATGTCAGCCCAGCAGCACAGTTCATCAGCTCAGTGAGGCACAGGGGAAGCGGGGAGGTAGTAAGTGCTGTCGGGTCAGTTTTCAGACGCAAGGCCATTGCCTGAGATTGGCTTCTTAGGCAGTTGTACCATCACACCATCCATCGCCTCCACAGGAAAGCAGTGCTGGACCAGCATCTGGTCTTCAGTTTGTGGCTACAGAAATGCAGTCTCTTGAATACAGGCAGAGTCTGTCAGGTTTTCAGAGATCAGCCAGCCTACTGATTTATCCATTGGTCTTAAGAACTGTTAACTGTGCAACAGGCCCAGTAGCATTCTGTACTCGGGGCCTTCCCTCCCTCTATGCAGACGTGAGTGTGGCGGCTGCAAGGGGAGGAAGATGTTCTCCAAGCTTAACTTGAAAAAGAATCTCAGGATGCTCATGTGCCCACGACCGTGAACACCTCTCCGATCACTGAGGGCTGGGTCCTCTCTCCTCTCTTTTCGGGGTCTCTGCCCCCTTCACAGTCTGGATAAGCACTGCCAAATTCTGCCCAGCTCTAATTGTCTAGTGTTGCAGGACAGTTACGCTGTCTACGTCATTAAACCTTGATCTTCCCGGCCTGAATGTCCACCTTTCAGATGCAGATATTGCTTTTCATTTATTGTGTTAAATTTTCACTCATTTGATGAATGGGAATTAGTAAAAGGAAGTTTGATACTGTCCAAAATTATGAGCCTGTACCTGTTTGGTTGGTACTTTCTATAACTGTTAGTTGTTCTCAGTCTTTTAAGAACCTCCATCAAGTTGTGAGTGACTGGCTCCACTTGACATGAACGATTGCTATACTTGTGTCTTAACACTGACCCAGAGTGGCAGTGTACCCAAGTCTCTCGACAGGGTGTTGTGCCTTGTACTCAACATAAGGTGCTCAGTGCCGCCCCATCTGTTGGTACAGGTGAAAACTACATCAGGCTCGGTAATCTACAGTCTTAACAACATGACTAGTCATTTGCCTCCTTGTTCATTCATGTTCTTCTTCATATCTTTGCTTAAAAACAGACCTTCCGTTCACAGCGGCCGCTGCTCTTTCCCATGTATCCCTCGCACGCAGCCTGTGTCACTAACAGACACCTAAGAGATGGGCACATAATAACTGAACATGCCTGGGGAAGGCTGCCTGCCACAGCTGCTTGGAGCAATAGTTGTAGGCTGAGGATATTGCTTCTTGGGGAAATTAGTAGACCGTGATGAGAGCACTGATTGGGAAGGTTATTCTCCTACCTCCGAGCAGTGAAACAAGTAGGATTGATTTTTGCCATGAAAAAAAAAACTGGATGGAAAACAGTGGTTTTGTTTTATTTTAATAATTGGTGATTGGTGACATGCATTCATTTTGCGTGTTACCCTCGTGGTAACAGTTACCTTCCCACAACAACATGAAGATGTAATTTCTAGTGAAAGGCATTGCAGCTGACAGGGCTGCTACCAAGGTTCCCGAGGGCAGCTGACCAGCATACAGTCAGGAGATGCTGCAGGACTAACGAGCTGTTGCCATCAAGTTGTTGCAAATGTTAACTATCATTCCAAGATGCCATTCGCCTAAAATATGTATGTGTTTGATACATTTGTCTCATTACTATGGTGCTTTGTTTGTTTCTTTGTTTTAAACCAAAGAAGGGGGCAGTTGATGTTTTCATTACCCTTTTTATTTTACTCCTTTCTTTGAAGACTCCCTTGGGAGAAAGGAAGGATGCTGCTGCTAGAGATTCTCCAAC